ACGACCCATTTGAAGGAAGGAGAGGGAATAACTTTCGCAGGGGGGTGCCAGTATTGGGCGATAACCAAAAAAATTTGATGATGTTAAAAAATTGTTATTGAAAAAAAAATCATTAGAAAAAAACACATTAAAAAAAAATGATGACAATCAAAAGAAAATCAGGAAAAGTGAAAAATTCCTTCGGCCAGGAAAAGCCTTGTAACTCCTTTTTTTATTTTTTTTTAATTTTCTTTTGCTTTTTTTTTTTTTCATTTTTTTTTTTTCATTTTTTATTTTTTTACAAAAAAAAAACACTCAAATATTTTCATCGTTCGGCAAAATGGTAAAATAAAAAACAAAGAAATTGTATCTTTTATTATATAGGTATGCAAATCTTCTTATGCAGTAACAACCAATAAACTATTGACAATAATTACAAAATAGCACCTGTTTGTGTTTTTAAGTAATTTTTTAAAAACTAATGTTTGTATTTTATAAATTATAAGCTAACAATAAATTTGGATTTATTTTAATTAATCTTTTTTTTTTTCTCTTTTTATTTTATTTATTTTATAAAATCAGATCTAACTGCAATGTAAAGGTTAGTTAATTCATTAACATATTATTATTAATATAAAATTTTTTTTCTAATAAATTATAATATATTTTTTTTTATTCAAATATTTTTTTTTTATAGTAGTTTTAAATCAACAACATTAGTTCTGGTATGTATTTTATTCTTTTTGTTTTAATCGTTAGCCACGAAGTGAATGGTAAAGGTTAAAACCAATTTTAATTCATTTTGTTAATTTAATTATTAATTTTTTTATTTTTTTTTATATTAACATTGTTAGGTAACTTTCCAGTTGTAGTTTCACTCTGATGTCTGAGCTTCATGTCTTGTTTAATTTCTCTAGCTTTATTTTTTTTTATTTGAAATTCATCAATAATAATGTTCGGTAGCTTTCCAGATGTACCGGCAGTTTCGCTTTGAAGATGTCTAAGCTCCATGTCTTGTTGAATTTTTTCTTGCTTTGTTACTATCCTTGTAATATGGTGGCGCTGGCTTGATGATGACTAATTGTTGAAGGCTTATGCTTTAGATTCTTATTATTTTTTATTACAAAAGAGTCGATTGACATTTCCAATTAAATGTCGCTATTCTACACCTGTTTATAAAAATTAATATTCTTTTTTAAAAATTAAAACAATAAAATTTTATTTGAATTATATTATTCTAAAATTAAATTTTAAATATTTTTATTTTGATTATTATTTCTTTTTTTTTATCACCGATTATTATCTGAAATATCTTTTTTTTATCACCGATTATTATCTGAAAAATCTTTTTTTTATCATTGATTATCTGAAATTTCTTTTTTTTTTAAATTAGATTTATAAGGGATTTCCGTTAGTTTTCACTTTTGAATGGTAGGTATTCAAAAAAAAAAAGTTAATTTATCCGAAATTTGGTATTTTTTGACATATTCGAAATTTGTAATTTTTTTTTTTTTGAGGAATAAGGTGGTAATTTTTTTACATATACCAAATTCATAGTTTTTTTTTTTTTCGAATAAGGGGGTATTTTATTACCAAAAAAAGTGGTCCATATACCAAAGTAAAATTATTTCCCATATATACCATTTTTTTTCCGGAGGTGTATTCTTTTTGTTAAAAGAATTGAATAGACTAACTTGTAAGCTCGTAAAAGAGGGTTTTTATTTTGTACCAATTCAAACAATCTTTTACACGTATCAACTGTGGCTGGGGTGTCAGGAGTATCTCTTGTGGGCTACTTTCTAAAGCTTCTATACTTTTCATACCAATCACTGTGTCCAATAATCTCTTTTAATTTCTAACCCGATTAGAGGTAAGCTTGTGTTGCTTTTAATGGCCCATCCATATAATCCCCCCCTTTAATAAGTTTTTTTTTTTTTAATAGTTTTTTTTTTAATTATTATTATTTGTTTCTGTTATTTTGAAATTATAAAGAATGATTGGAAAAAAAAAAAAAAAAAAAAAAAAATTTTGAAAAAAAATTTTAAAAAAAAAAGAAATTAAAACCCCACCACACACAATTTTTCTTTTTTATAAAAAAAATTAATTAAAAAATAGCTAGAACTGTTTAGTTATTCCCATAAAATATTTATATTTCATTGCTGCATATAAAAAAATTTTTAAAAAAATATTAATTAAGAAATATTAAGCTATCAGGAATTCAATAGCCTAGCAGATGCTCAGCTTTTTATTTTCTTCAATAAAAAACTTGTTGAGAGTTTTTTATTTTTGTTGTGTTATATATATATTTGGTTTGTGTTTTCATTTGGTTAACAAATATAAAAAACTTTTCGGTAAGTTTTTATTTGTTTTTGTGTTATTGTGTTTTGGTTTGTGTTTTAAAAAACTTGTTGGGAGTTTTTTATTTGTATTGTGTATTCGTTTTTACCGGATTTATCTTTCCGGTGATTATAATATTATATTAATAAATAAAAAATATATTTTATATTAATATATTTTATATTAATATATTAATATATTAATATATTTTTTATTTATTTATATTTTTTAATAATTTATAAAAAAAAATAAATAAATTTTTTTTTTTTTTTAAAAAAAATAAATGGATTTTACTTTTTATTTTTTTTTTTTTAAAATTGTGTGTAGAATCGGTAACACAAAGTAGTGAATCATAAACTAGTTGGTTTACCACCAATAGGGTCTGTTATATCTTGGTTAGGAATCTATTTCACCAAAATGTATAACTCTTGCTAAACCAATTGTTGATTTTGTTTTATCTGGTGGGGTAGAATAAGTTTCATTAACCCAGTGTGAAGTGGTTTATTATCCGACCCGTCAAGTGATTTGGGTCAAAGCTTTACTCATTTATGCCGTTACCACCCAATAACTGTTGAAGAAAACGAGTTAACTTTGATTCTCTGTATGTTGTAAGTTACTGTGAGTCAATGAGTTCATTACTCAATGAAGACTATGTTTTTGAAATCTAAACCTGATAAATTGACCAAATTATATTAACCTGTATTGATTGATTCCTCTTTTAAAATTTTGTGGTAGAATATATAAAAGTAATTATTATTTTAAAAGCAAATTCAATAAATGATGATAAATTTAATAAAAATAAATAAAAAAAAAATTAATTTTAATTTTTTTTATTTTTCTTAAAATAATTCTGCACCACCATAAACATTATTTTATTATAAACTAAATAAAAATAAAAATAAAATAACAATATTATAATGTCATTCATTAATAAATATAAAGCTAAATACAAACACATCAGTTAAGATAAGTGATTACACATACTATTTTTTTTATAATGTTACACTAATTAAAAATAAAATACAATTCTAAATTATCGCACTTGTATCACCAATAATTAGTTACTAAGAAAATAAGTGATTATTCAATGGAATTTAAACCAAATGGTAACATGGTACCGTCATTCGTTTTATATTCTATAATCAAACCATAATAATATAAAGTTGGATGTGAAATTAAATCATGTTCGATACTGTGGAAAAATTGGATTCTATACAATCATCAAGTATGTACTACTATTATATATAAATACAAATATATAAAGAGTGATTCGATTCGATTATTAATTTAAAGAATATAAGATTCTATCATGATGATTTAAAAGTAACAAATAATAAAGAATAAAATAAAATTTTAATAACACAATAATCAACTCAACCACTTAGAAAAAGAAAAAATTCATTTCAATTTAGGGAATATTGTCAAAAAGGTTTCCATTAATCAACTAATTCAAATACTTTTAATTATTTGATTTAAATTATAATTTTTATAAAAATTATAAAATTTAAAAATTTAAAAAAATAAAATTAAATAAACGATTTTATCATAACATAAAATTTATATTTAGGATTTCTCACCCCTACTTTAATTATTTGTATTTTTTTGTGTAATTTAAATAATTTATTTCTTATAATAGTCTGGGGTGATTCTCAAAAATCAATTTTACAAAAAAAGGGTTTGTTCAACACACACTTTTTTTTAATTTATCTGTGGGATTCTAATAAATAATTATTATAATAATCAATATCGCGCTATAATCACAACATTAAATACAAAATAGTAAAGTTCTAATTTTGTCAATAATTGAACTTTAGTTATTAACAAAAACTTATAATTTATATTTAGCGCCAAAAGATAACTCTATTTTAAAAATATAACAAAAAACAAATTTGAAATATCTTTTATAAAAAAAGAATAAAAAAATAAGCATTAGAGGACTTTCAATTCAGGCTACATTTTAAAAAAAATAATAAAAATAAAAATTAAAAAAAAATAATAATTAAATAAAAGAAATAGATTTAATTTATTGAGTTATTTATTTTTATTTTTATTTATTTTTAATTTTATAAACCATTTAGTTTTTATAATTTTATTTTATAATTATACATTTGATTTACCATTTTTTAATTTATCAATTTTTTTAAAAATATTTTCTCTATATTTATAACCAATAAATGCAGCAGCACACAATGCAGCACCACCGACAAATGTTGGAATTAATGCTTTCTTCAATGTACTACTTTTGTTATCAGACTTCTTTTTTTCAAAGTTTAATGTTGAATTGATTGGATATTTAGATTCACCGATTTTTAAGTATAAATGTTCATTACCATCTTTAATTGGATCAATATTGATTTTTGAATAACTACAATTGTATAAATCTTTATTATTGTGTTGAATTGATATATTGAATGTACAATTCATTATTAAATCACCTTTTGATGAATTAAAATGAATTTCAAATGGTTCACCGAATTCATTACCATATACTTCAAACTGATAAGTTTTATTACCACCATCTTTAATATTAATTAAACTATTATTAAATGATGGTTTATTATATGATAATGTATATTTTGAAATGAATTCATTATAAATGAATACTGATAAATCAAATGTACCAACATATCCATCATTTAATAATACACAAATCATATTATTTGAAACATTATAATCTTTAAATGTATTTGTACCATCTTTTAAATGTGATTTAAGTTCAACTGTGACATTATTTGAATTGTTGACACCAGATTTAGTTTCAGGTAATCTTGAAGCACTAATACACACTGTTCCATTTCTTGTTGAAATATTATTATCTTTTACCAATCCAATTATTGATGGTAGCATTATTTTATAGTTTTCATTTGACATTGGAATACTATCGATTATAAGATTAACATTACCATAATCATATTGTGAATCTGCATTGAATGTAATAGTTGTATCACTGATAGCTTTACATGTAGCATTTTTATTTGCAAATATTAAATTACATTTTGATGAATCATTACCAAAGTTATTACCAGTTAATGTAATTGTTTTCAATCCATTGACAATATGTGATACAAGTGTTGGTGGTGCATATTCAAATAATGAATTGATTTTTTCAATACCATCAACATAAAATTTAAATGAATGTTTACCAGTTCCAGCACCAACATTACAACTTGTTTCAGTATTTGAAAGCAAAGTACAATCAATATGATTATTAGAATTATCAACTGTAATAGATGGTTTTACAATTATCTCTTTACATGAAAAGTATTTATCGATATGCAATGATGATCCATTTGTTAATGGTCTTGATGGAGCTAATATAAATGTAGGTTGTGGTGTTATTGTTATATTATTATTTGAAATAACATCATTAACCTCAATTGATAGCTTTACAGATGTTTCACATATATTTGGTAATTTGAATGATAATTTAGTTTCATCATTACTTATTGATGTAATTTCTATTCCTTTATTTTCTTTACCATTACGTAAAAGCTTAATTGTACCATTTCTTTCATTATTATTACCAAAGTTAATACCAGTTATTGAAAATTCATTTGTTCTATCAATTTGAATTGCAGTTGATGATGTAAAATGAGGTACACCATATTTAAAATTTATTTCAGTTGTACTTTCAATTTCATCTATTTTAATTTTAATTTTATTTATTAATCCTTCACCAGGTTCTAATAAACATACGATTTGAGATGTTGTTGATGAAATATATTCACAATTATAGTTTTTATTATCACTACTGATTAAAGTTACATTTGTACTTGATGTTTGAGATGATGACATATAGCTTCCAGTTATTGCAATTATACCTCCATTATATTTTGAAGTTGATACAGTTGTACTAATCGACACAGGTTGTGGTTTAATATCAAATGTATAAATATTTTCTAATGAAATATCCCCGATGGTAACATTTATATTTAATATTTGAGAATATCCAGTAACATAATTAAGTTTTAATAAACGATGATCTATTGAAGCAATTGATGCATTTATTCCATTAATAGTGACGTGAGCAACTGACGGGTTATTATAAAAATTCAAACCGACTAAAGTGATTATTGAATCTTTGTAATTACATTGAGAAATATATGGAGGAGCATAGTTTAAATTCATTTCCTTTTTATACATAAGATCTGGAGACAATATAAAACTTCCATAACCTGGGGGAAAATTTAGAGTTAAATTTTCAGGATCAAAATTCTCTTTATCAACACTAATCTTAAATTCCATACCTAATTTAGCTCCTTCTACAACGTAATAATCATCAACATAATTTCTCAAATAATTACCAGTAAGTTGAACTTTACCCCCTTCAGTTGATGGTAATTTTGAGAGAGAAGGGTTTATTGAAAACATGAAGCTATCCGTGTCAACTGGTTTATTACAAAAACTTATGGCTGGAGGAAAAATATAGCATCTTAAAATACAATTTCCATAAAAGTTTTTTATCTGATTTTCATCCAATTTAATAACACATTTTTCAGTGTCGCATTCAGGTGAATAAACTTCCTTTATATTTTTACAATCATAATCATCGTATAAGGTGAAATTATTTGATCTCGGATATTCAGTGTCAAATTCAATATATGATCTGTTGTAATATACCAAACCTATAAAAAAAATATTAGCAAAAATAAAAAATACAATTTTAATGAATTTTAATAAACATTTACTTTGTTTTGAATATATTTTAGAAATAAAAAATATAAAGAAAATACAAATAATTGGTTTTTTCATTTTTATTTAACATAAATTACAATTAAAAAAAAAAATTTATTTTATAACTTTTATTTCAATTGGAATGTATTTAACATTTTTAAAAAGCTAATTTTAGATTATATTATAAGTTTTATTTTTTTAAAACACTGTGTTTGAACAATCTTTTGTGGGTTAAAATAGAATCATTTTTTTAATATTTTGTCCAACCACAGTGTGTTAAAAAAATTGAACAATCTTTTGTGGGCAAAAATTAGGGATTATAATTTAGCTTAGCTTTAGAAAAAATGGCTTTGTATAGTTTTGGGGTAGAATAGTCGCTTATTAAAATCAAATTCATTGTTTTTGTTCATTTTTTTTTTTTTTTTTAGTTTTTTTAGTCCTATAAAAAAAAAATGTAGTTTGTAATTTAAAAAGTGTTTAAAAATAAAACCTCAACAGATCCAAATCAAAAGAAAAAGGTGGAATTTTATTTTTACTATTATTTTTTTACAGTTGTTTTTTTTTATTTATTGTAAAATATATTATTAATGTATTTGTTAATCAGATTTTTCAAATTTATTTTATATAAAATAGCAGTTATTTAATAAAGCGCAATATTTAAATATAATAAAAAAATAAATTTAACAAAAAAATTTTTTCTATAAAATAAATACTTCCACATTTTTGAAAATATATTAATAATAAGCAATAATTTATTTAATCAAATACATAAAGAAATAATTAATAAAAAAATATAGTCATGGATAGAACATTTATTTTCAGTAATGTTGATTATATATATATATCTTCTTCTTGAAAAAAATTAGAGTCTTTATTTTTAAAACTTTCGGCTTCTAACTCTTTAATTTTAGAAAATATTTTATCTTTAAGATCATCTTTAGTTGGATTGGATTTTGGAATTTGCTCAATGGTGATTTTTAATTGAAATGAATTTCAGTGATAATAAAGCAACAACTAAATATTTTTCAAAGTATGGGGAAATTCAGAGTATTTAAAAGAAGGTTTGGATACAAGAAATGATACAGTTTTATATTGGAAAGAAAAAAAACTGTATATCCAACACTATACTCGATTGTAAGAAATGTTTTTTCAGTTGCCTCTTCATCTGTTGAAATAGAAAGAACCTTTTCGGGTGCTAGGTTATTAATTACCGACAACCGATCAAAACTCAGGTGGGAAAGAATTGAACAATGTGTTTTGCTTAGGGAGTGGGCAAATGTTTCAAGGGTAGATATTGTTAAAAACTCTGTATTTTATGATTATTATAATATATCAAAAATGGAATGATTAAATTCCAAATAAAATTCACTTTAAATTTTAAAATTTTAAAATTTTTTATATGAATTTTTTTAATTTTTTCTCTATTTTTAGTATATTTTTTTTTTCCTATAGCTTCGCTAGTTCTAAAAAAAGTGAAAATAGGTGCACTTTTCAGGGTGTCGGTTGGGAAAAATTTTTTTTTTTTTTTTTCTAGCCCGTATTAGATACAGTACTGCTTTTAGAATAATTGAAAAAGTTTGGTACATGAACATACAAGAACTTAGAGAAGTAGAAATAAAGTTAAATCTAAATGATCAAATGATCAATTATCTCAAATATAAAAATAGATGGTTAGTGTAATAGGAGGAAGTTTATTTAGGTCTTTATTCAAAGTGGCTGTAATGTATTCCAATACATTTTAGAATTAAAAAAATAGTACAAAGTAGGGGTTATAATTATTCTGAAAGCAGTCTAGTATCTAATCCATATTAGAATAACATATTTTCCTTGATTCTTATTTCGTTTGTAATTTTTATGCTTGAAATAGAGGCCTTTTTATAAACAACCTATATTGCAATCTATTCTATTTCTTGCTACTATAGAGATAACATTTGAACCTAAGTACCATACTTTAATCTTTTTATCTCTTAACACACCAATTGAAATATAAGCTACAGCTTCAACTGCCTATATAGCTACCATCATTAACCTTATTGGAATCTATCCTCATCATTTCATTTGACTTGTTACAAAGATTTTTATACGCTAGTAAAATAACCTAATTTATTAATTGGTGGGTATTTGGTTGATATTTTAACATTGTTATTACTATTTTGTTGTGTAGAAGTATTATTGCTGATCACATGTTGTTAACATGCTTCTTTGTGTTTTTATATTTGTGTAGAATAACCTAGTTTTATTTATTTATGTGTTAATAGTTGTATATTGATTTAGATGATCCATACAAAATTATAAAAAATACATGTATAAAAAATTTAAAAAAAAAAAAAAAAAAAAAATTAGTAAATAATAAAATTTTTGAATTATAATAAAGAATCTATAATTTCCTTTAGTAAATAAAAGATTATAACTAAATTGGGTATTCCTTTTTTGGAAATTTTAATCTATCATAAAAGGAAACACACATCCCTAATAAAATTTTAAACTTTGAAAAAAAAAAAAAATTTCTAGATAGAAAATATAAAATAATTTTATATTTATTAAAATTTCTAGATAAAAATATTAATCTATTTAATCTATTTAATCTATTTATTTCATTTGTTTATTTATTGGTTGATTGAAAATTGTTCTTTTTGTTGTTTGAATTAGTATAAAATGAAAATCCTCTTTTACGAGTTTACCAGTTAGTCTATTCAATTCTTTTAATCTTTTACACATATCTACAGTTGCACGAGTGGCACGAGTGGCTGGAGTATCTCTTGTGGGCTACTTTCTAAAGCTTCTATATTTTTCATACCAATCACTGTGTCCAATAATCTCTTTTAATTTCTAACCCGATTCGAGGTTAGCTTGTGTTGCTTTTAATGGCCCATCCATATAATCTCCACCTTTAATAAGTTTTTTTTTTTTTTTTAATAGTTTTTTTTTTAATTATTATTATTTGTTTCTGTTATTTTGAAATTATAAAGAATGATTGGAAAAAAAAAAAAAAAAAAAAATTTTGAAAAAAAATTTTAAAAAAATTTTAAATTAAAACCCCACCACACACCTAAATGTATAACTCTTGCTAAACCAATTGTTGATTTTGTTTTATCTGGTGGGGTAGAATAGGTTTCATTAACCCAGTGTGAAGTGGTTTATTATCCGATCCATCAAGTGATTTGGGTCAAAGTTTTATTCATTTATGCCGTTACCACCCAATAACTCTTGTAGAAAACGAGTTAACTTTGATTCTCTGTATGTGAAATGTTGTAAGTTACTGTGAGTCAATGAGTTCATTACTCAATGAAGACTATGATTTTGAAATCTAAACCTGATAAATTGACCAAATTATATTAACCTGTATTGATTGATTCCTCTTTTAAAACTTTTTGGTATAATATATAAAAGTAATTATTATTATAAAGCAAATTCAATAAATGATGATAAATTTAATAAAAATAAATAAAAAAAAAAATTCAAATTAATTTTTTTTTTATTTTTCTTAAAATAATTCTGCACCACCATATTATTTATTAAAAAAATAAAGCTAAATACAAACACATCAGTTAAGATAAGTGATTACACATACTATTTCTAAAATTTTTTGTTATACTAATTAAATAAAATACAATTCCAAATTATTGCACACATAGAAGTATCACCAATAATTAGTTACTAAGAAAATAAGTGATTATTCAATGGAATTTAAACTAAATGGTAATATGGCACTGTCATTCGATTTAAATTCTATAATCAAACCATAATAATATAAAGTTGGATGTGAAATTTTAATTAAAATTTATTTATTTATTTATTTGTGAATTTAAAAAAAAAAAAATTCTATAGCTTTTTAAAACCTGTGAATGGTATTACATTTATGGGGAGGTTTTTGCAAAGCAAGACATCGAGCAAAAAGAAATTATTTGGCGTGGGGTTTCTTTTGTAATAACAGCTTGGGTGATTGATTGTTGACACATTCCACAAGTAACATCAATTTTTCTTTCTCTGCGTCTGGATGATGATGATATAGAGTTTGATGATGAATTTAATTTACGTTGTTGCTGTCTTTTTAATTTATCTTCTTGGTTATTATTATTAATGTTGTTATTGTTATTGTTGATATTGTTGTTGTAATTTAATAAAGCTTGACCAATCCCTGAATATTGTGATGGTTGTTGTTGTTGTTTTAAAAGATCATTTAAAATATTGTTATTATTAATATTTTCTTGAGCTTGTTGCTGATTATAATTTTGGGAAGAAACCTTTTGAAAATATATTCCAGTTGGTTTGTTTGGGCTGTTGCCTGTTTGAATTGGTTGTGATGGAGTTCTCATTTCGGCGGTGGTCATTTTAATTATTTTTTTTATTGATTATTGGTATTTATTTTTTTATTAATATTTTTTTTATTATTTTTTAACTTTTATTATATAAACAGTATTTTATTTCTTTAATATTTAATATTAGCCAATTCCTTTTGGTAATGGATTAAGATAGAGTACTTTAATCTTAATCATGAAAAGTCAATAAAAAAAGATGATCATAAAAGAATCTAAAGTCTTTACAATTTTAATAAAAAGAAAATTAATATTTTATAAATAAATAAATAAATAAATAAATAAATAAATAAATAAATAAAAAGATAAATAAATAAATAAAAAAATAAAAATATAAATAGTTTTTAAAAATAGTAATAATTAAAAATAAATAAAAAAATAAAAAAAATAAAATTTATTAAACCAATTATAATATTAAAAAGTATTTACTATAGATATATTTTTTAAAAGTATAATAGTAAATGAAAATGACAACAAGAAAAAAAAATAAAAAAAATAGAACTACTACATAAAACAATCTATCACTATTTTAAAAGTTATGTAGTTTTAAAATTTCTTTTTTTTTTTTTTTAATATTTAGCAAACAAAAATAGTGTTTTATTATTTTTTTTTATTTTTAGAAATATGATAAAACGATATGACCACATAAATTTAAATCAATCACACCTATACAATACACGCAAAGTTTATTGTTTTAAATATTTACATTATGACTATCTAACAGTAACAATTAAAAATTAAATTACTAATTATGAGAGTATAAAAAAAAAAATAAAAAAATAAAAAAGATATCACAAACACACATACTGATGTAGAAAAATTTAAAATAGTTTATGATTTAAATCGTACTGATATTTATACGGTATTTAATTTAATGGGACACACACACAAATAAAGTTTTTATAAACAAAATAGTAAATATTATAAAAAAACATTGTATTAAATTTTAATATATAATAAAAATAATAATAATAAAAATAAAAATAAAGAAAATGGTTATAGATTTAAACAATATGTATATTGCTAAAAATTAAAATATAATTAATTTTTTAAAACTCTTTTTTTTGTTATTTTAATTTATCTTTTTTTAAAAACACACATACACACAAATATCTGCATTATTTAAGAATATTATTATTATTATTATTATTATTATTACTTTTAACAGTTTTATAATGTAAAGTATAACGAAATAAAGAAATTAAAAATAATAAAATAAAAATAAAAATAAAAATGCAATTATTGAATCTGAAATAAACAATTAACAAGAAAATAAATAAAAATATAAAAATATTAAAGTTTTAATAATTACATTAAATAAATTAAATTAATATAAAAAACAAAACAAAACAAAACAAAACAAAT